CAACCCCCCCGGGGGGGGGGGGGGAGACTGATGGACAGGCGTATAATTTCTATAACAGACGTTCTTACTACCACAATTTGCGTTTATAGCAACTGAAAACGATTTGTGTACAAAGAGGCGGAGTTTTAAAATTAAGTTTAGAAACCCGGTCCATTCATCGAAATTAAATCCTCTGCGGTCAAGTGCGAAGAAAGAAAAACAAACTGATTTTTTGAGATTTTCACGAAGATGAGAGTTCATAATATGGTCTCTCGATTATTATATCGTATTTCTACCCTAGAGACCGGAAAAGTATGTTCTTCTGAGCCTCTTATAACCACTACAAGACTACACAAAAACATCACAATCGGAAAAAAACAAATTCTCTCTTAAGGGTTGTATTCTCAGTCCGGAAATGTACTACATAACATCATTTTATTTATTTATACGGCCGCTCAAAAATGTACTGCGTCATCCCTGCGGTATTTATAAGAAATGAAGAAAACATCATCGAGTATTCTAAAACGAAACTACTATGTTTCGGGACCTTACTCTGCTTCCGTCTTCAGGCGAAAATTTCTGCTATGTTGGATCCCAATCCCTGGACCGGGATTAGCCCTTCTATCGGATCCAACGCAGCAGGCATTTTAACCTTAATAAGGAACGACAGTCTACTCCCGAAACGTAATTGTTTCGTTTTACAACACTGGAGGTTGTATTAAGTCCATACAAACAGCATTAATAAATGTAATGCAACATCGTTAGAACCCACAGGAGTTACACCATTAGAACATGTCCATAGTTTAAAATTTAACATAAATTAAATAAAACATCCGCATCGTAAATTAAATTTTATAGAAGTAATTTACGCAAAAAGAATTATGTAACATAGCCACGTCGTACTTAATTTATGTTGAAGGTAAATAAATTACATTTATTTCATAACACATACAATTTGCTACATTATATTTTCCTTGAAACTGGGGAGCTAATGAGCCTTTGTCCATCCCTCAGACGATACACGAGTAAATACGGAGCAGCAGTGGAGTTATAATGACGGGGGAGAATCGAAAGACTCTAAGAAAAACTCGTCCCAGTGCAACTTCGTCCACCTCAAATCCCAAATGGACTTACTCGGACACGAACGCCGGCCTTCGCGGTTAGAATCTGGCCACTAACCATCTAAACCACAGGAATATGCTACATTCAGTTTTCGCTCGCATCTCCCAAACAGTGAATCTCTATCGAAACTTCAATTAATTTTCTGTTATGAATATGCGAGAGTCTGAGAAAAGTTTATTCAAGATCTGGAGTTCTTAAAGTGATTGAACGAAATGAAGTCTTCTCAGGTGATGAGTCGTAACAGAACAGAGTGAACCTCCAAAATTTTGGAGACTCCCTCTGCATCCATCAGTCTTTTGTGATAAGTTGACAGTCGCTGATCAAGTAATCACCACCTGATGGACGTTCTCTGAGTCGGTGGAAATTCATTCTAAAAAGACTTGGCTGATAGCCCGAGATTTCAATGCAGAAAACACTGATCTATGGACAGCAGAATATAATGTAAGATTTATGACAGCGAGAATGCTAAATTTCTTCTATACTACGAGAGACGAAAGACGGGAGGTGATAGAACTTGGTACTAAAAAGTAGGAAACTATGCGAAATACGGCATTTCATGCTAAAATGCATTCCTTTTCGTAAATAAACATAGGCCACACCATGTTTTACATGCAACGCAAGATTTCAAGAACTACACTTGATGCTCAGCTTTTAGCACAACACATATTTACGAGTGTAACATGTCAACTGTTCTTACGCATTCTTTGCACTAAAAGCGTATAAATTTACTACAATGCGGAGGTCCTGTTTTTCTGTCTATAAGTATTTGTCTCCGAACTCATGGAATGTCACTTCATAACCTGGAAGTCCCTCAGTTGCTCAAGAAAATTTCACGTCTCTTATGGACCCAGAACTGTGTCCACAAAAGGCCATCAATGGGTCCTATGCTGAGAAACATGAATCGAATACGCTCCCTGACATCACATTTCTTTAAAATTCAATTTAATATTATCCTCACACGTTCGCCTATTTCCTATAAGTAGTCACACCCCTTCACGTTATTCAACAAAAATTAAGTCTCTTAATTTATCAATTTTAATCACTTTGCTCGGGAGACGTAGACGATGTTAATCGTTTCAATTTTAAGTACATATTGCTTAAAGAACAATTCAATCAGCGGTAAGCAGTCTTGACTGCTAATAAAACGTCATTAAATAACACAGCATACATAGACGCGCACTATTGAAAAAAAAAAACAATTCAGAGACAATTATGGCCTGCACAGGAAATGGCATTAAACTGAACTGGGACGAAGCCCGTCCTTTTGATAACAGCAAATAAAAATACGACTCACATTGTGGCAATGTCTGTAAACTTTCACAAACAAAACGCAATTTCATATTTTGGTTTCAATAGGCCTTCAAACAAAAGCTCGTTAAGAGTACAATATGCTACGCAGCTTTGACGATAAAAAACCTGCGCCCTATTCACTGTACCAACAAAATAGAGGCCGAAATATTACACACGCCGTTAAATTTCCACTTGCCCCTAGCGCAAAAATCAAGATAAGGGCCTACCGTGTCAATACACAAATTAGTTTCTTAGTCTATTTATATACCTAAACACTCTTCAACTGCAATACTTAAACTGCGTCGAATGGGGGAAGTATGCAGAAGAAATCTGTCGTGGCCTGTTTTAAGATAATATTCCAGAACTTGCCTTGAAGAAGTGAGAAAAACCACGACCTCAGCAAAGACAACCGGAATTGTGACCGACAATCGAACCCGAAACTCCCAGGATACAAGAGTTCTAACCACTGAGCACGTCGTGTTATTAGCGTTACACGAATCCAGTTTTTACAGGCCAGTTCTCCATCCAATGTTTGCCATTTTATATTCAAGTGTTATTATTAATGAGATTTGAGTTTCTCACGACCAAAAAACAGACATCGACAATATCACTGTCACTGCCATAAAGCTTTTCGTATGTCTAAGCACCATTCTATTAATGAAAGAAAAGGGAGAAATCCATGCTTTCATACCTTGGAACTAGATCGAGGCGATTAGTGAGCTTAAAGCTCCTGCCGTTTTACTCTCGAGGTCGGTTCACCGCCACCCATCTGCCAATCAGTTCTGGCAGAGTTCGAACGCGGCAGTGCTGAGCGTCGGTATGTTATATGTTGCATACAACTTTCGATAACATAAAATTTCTAATTACGGTACTCTTCTGGGTGACAGGAACACCGAAACTGGAGTAAAGTCGTTAAATAACCAAACACTCGATCTCTTTCAACACTTAACGCCTCGTGGTTTTACTCAAGGTCTGACGTGTGGTGGATGACTGACGACGTATTGCAAGATTCCGATTAGCTCAGCTAACGTGTTCCTGACTTTTACACAGCTTAGTCCTGAGAAACAACCAGCTGGTACATCGCTCCCCTTGACGGCAAACACTATTACTTTAACAGCAGTAATAACAATAAACAAGTTAGGAAATGTACGCATACGTAACGATTCTAACTCGTTCTCCAATGTTTGACCTTCGTGAAAGGCCGAGCGCAGAAACGCGGATGGGAAATATAGTTCCCCCTACTTTTGTCTGATTTCGGCCAAAATTGTAACGAGTCAACAAATTTTGGTGAAAAGCTTTAATATCCATGTAACGGTCGAGTTGTTACATGAAAGCACATGGCCAGATACACAAACATTACAAAGCTAATAGGCGCATTTCTGCGAGTTTTAGTTGGGAACACACCCAAAGAACTAAAGATGTCCTTGCAGTCTACTTAATTAAGCAAAGCACCATGAACAGATAGTCTATGGGGAAGGGGTTGATGTATGTGGTTCAGTCTTAATATCGGCACCAGATGAAGTGATTGGGTTAAATTTATGTTCTGGCATCTTTGCACTCACAGAAAGAGGTGCCTACATTGGCGTCAGAACCGGTCTGAACGCGGTGGCGAAAAGAAATTTCCGCCCTTTTCAGACACCGAACCGAGAACGTCTAGCCCACAGCCAATCCCAATACTTACCGAACTCTTTTATCCTACGTAATAACAACAACAACAACACGTCAAAACCCTATGATCGTCATAAAGGATCTGCATACCAGAACAGAATTTGTAAATTCACATTTAACTTAACAGTCAGTAACAGACAGACTTAATAAACACAACATAGTACGTACATTTTTAAACTATCCCTTTACAAAAACTGCACGTAAAATTACATTTTTAGGTAGAGCGCGGAAATATTAAGAGATTTTGGAACAAAAGATTACTTTAGTCTAAGGTTTTCTGATGAAGATGTGGTATTAAATTACTTGACATTTTCGTTTGCTTATAAGTTAAAAATCACGTTAAAATATACTACCTCATCATTTGGGTCCGTGGAAATAAATGTATTCCAATATATTCGACTAATCTCGTTGTACAGATGATTAAAGTAGAGTCAGCTTCCAAACCGTGTCCCCCTCGTATTAAATTATAGGGACAACGATTTACTTATTTCCGTGAATTCGCCGTACCATTAAACCAACCGACGTTTCCAAGGCAAAGCTTACAAGAGATAATCAACCCTGGAGCTGTACTTGGTGGGAGATGCCTTACCTTGAGTAACAGATGAATGGGAGGGCTGATACAGGGTCTCTTCTTTTCCTGATGACAGAGACACGCGTTCAACCAAGGCATGATGATTTCGATGATATTTCGTATTACAAAACCACAATTGAAACTAGTATTATGATGTTTCGCGTTGATAAAATAGTTTGAAATTCACTTTCTTCGATATGACATACTCGATGTCTTCCATATTAAGGCATGTAACACGGTTAACACTTGTTTAAAGCCTTTGTTATCTATAAAATCTATTCCGTCACTATACTGTATATTATGTTGTCTATAAATGGTTAGAAATGTGTTAAAAAGCAACGTTAAGCAGGAAGTCAGCACTAATATTTTGCTCACAAGCCTTCCCCATTTTCGATAAACAGTTCTTAACGTATTATGTTAATAGATATAAAAAACTATATTTCCCTTTCTAAGTTCACAATCACTAACATACCACACAATAAAGCTAGTACCAAAGACTGTTTAACGGTTATGCTAATTTATTACACAGCAGATATCACTTGTTAAAAGCACTTATTAAGCACGCATTAGGCCTAATTACTAGTGTTCGATCATCAAAGCTGTCAAAGCACACGCAAGTTCATAATTCATTATTTAAACTTGAGTCCAGTTATTTAATACTGTAAAACAGATGAAAGGCTAAGATGCTTAATGTCTGATTACTGACTAATTCTTGTTTCGCGTTCTATTCGTCACGTTAGTCTGTAAACGCTAATAAGAAACACTGTGAGTTTTAAAGATGGCTATCAGTTATAAAACCTATTAATTTCATGGAATCCGGTGTTTGGAGCGAAGCTGAAGCGTGTAGCAACCTTGACAGTGACCTAAAAGCAGAACACGCGCGCAAAAGAGTAGACAAGATGGAGTGGCAGCGTGCCTCGACCGCCATGCACGGAAGCCCGCGAAGCACTGAGGCTCTCCTCTGGCCGGCCGGCCGGCCTGCCTGCCTGCTCACTACAGCCAAAACCTGCACAGCGTGCAGCGCGGGCAGGTCTAAAGGGGCAGCAGCTAACCATTCATGAGACAACTAGGGCAGAATGGTTCTGCGCTCGTTAGGTTCATTAATATTTAATAACACTGTTTCAAACGCACAAGTTGGTTCTGCACAGTGCCAAATGAAATTGGGAGATAATCATGAATAAGTAGGTAAGTATTTGGAGAGACTGTGGATAATTAGGGAATATTACAGCCTGAAAAGATAGAAAAATATCAGAAAGCCTTAGGAAAGCCGATAACACAGCTGAGATATTAACTGGGCACCTCCCGAATTCATGTGGTTCGATTATTAGTGTGCTCGAAGAGAGGAATTGGGAATCTTTTATATTCATACCGACTATAACGCTGTTTCCTTGGAGGTCAATCGGTCGAAACGTGAAGCTGATTTGTCTAATGCTAGAGTAGTATATGAATGGAGCTTGGTTCTTATATTATATTCAAATCATACACAGATCAACAACGTTATTGGCGTAGTCTAAATTCTGGTGCCTTAATCACTTTTGTCTTTCTACCTGCATTGAATTTATACGAAATAAGAAAACTCAGACATATGAGGACCTAATGCAATCCCAGGTTGCCTGCACCTCCCAACACCACCACCACCCTGCCCAGGGTCCGTTTCTTGTTCATCTGTCTACTAGCTAAATAGAACAACTGATTGTTCATTAACCATCCTAAAATTCTACGCCAAAAGACTAACAATCCAAGCTACTAATGAGGTCTTAAAATAAACCACAAAGACGTAAACAATGAAGCTCAAACCAAACTTTATCCAAACCAAATTTTATCAAAAACGGATTGCAAAAAAAAATGTTTCCACTTGAGATAAATTACACGCCTCATTAAGGTCTAAAACAATTATTTCATTTTATCTTATATTTAATAACATACGTGGAAATACAGTTTCTGACTTTCCTGCAATGTAGCGATTCAGATTACAAGAGGTTTGTGTCTGCAACTCGAACTTCAAGGTCAATGATACTCAGCGTCACGTAGAGTACACATTTCCGCTGTAAAGATGCTCGTAATACGTTGTTAAACAATAAAATTCGTACCTGTAAACGAGCTCTCCCCATTTTTGAGCGACATGTGTAATCAAAATAATGTTTACGTTAGAGATGCTGCCACCCGGTGTTTCATTAAGGAACTTGTAGGTCATGGCAGTTCAATTCCTTGCCTTCAGGAGTTGAACATGACGGCCACATAACTCGCTCTTAAACCTTAATTGCTTATTTTGTTAATATTCCGATGTAATAATAATTAATGAGGACGAGGCACTTTGAGTGTTCCAAATTTGTAATTTACAAATGGAAACCACGTAGCGTGGCTTTTCCTGTTGCAATATTGTTGTGGGAGTAAAATGGTGTGGATTTCGAAGGAAACGTACATTTGCACTTTTTCCTTTTATTCTTTCTCCTGTTTCCTAGTATTTTTATACGTGTCTCCCTTTCTTATACTTCCTACATTTTACCCTTACATACATCTCCTTAACCTCCTTCCATTACACTTTCTCCATGTCTTCCATTTATCTTTTTCTGCTTTTCTCCTTATACGCTCATTTTCTACGACCTCCAATGTTATTTATTTTGTCCTCCTGTACCCACATTTTTATATTTCTGTTTCTTTCACCTTCCTGTTTTCATTTATTTCTCTCTGTTCCTCCCCCCCTCTTGCCAGCTTACATTTTATCCTTATATTCCATTTATCATCTCAAACACATGAGAGTAATATACATGCTTATATAAGGCGGTCCTTACTTCTTTCAGCGACTGTGGAAGTGAACATCCCTGGAAAACACAGTCTACGTACACTGGCTTTTACAACTGGGAGATAGTTCAATATGGTGGACATTTAACAAAATGCAATAAAATAAATCTTTGTCTCTCTGCACCGATATCTTCATTGCGATTAGTGTTCAACAACAGAATTACGTATATCTTCAATAAATTGACATCAAGGACAAACAACTACGCAAAATAACAAATGGATTTTTTTAAAATATGGAAAATCCTTTTCATATTTTTTATCTGCCTCTATCATGTTAACAAATGGATTTTTTTAAAATATGGATAATCCTTTTCATATTTTTTATCTGTCTCTATCATGGGGATCGATTCCGACCCTGAAATCGATTGCTACCGCGTCAACCAATTGCTTTTGCAAAAAAAGAAATTAGCACCTGAAACGTGTGAGAGGAGTGTCCAGGGTAATCGCGTTCGGTCGACCTGAAGCCCTGGCCATGTCTCATGCTTCGTCCTGCAAAAGGGGAAAGAGCAACGTTGCGCTATTAAATTACGTAGCCATGAACTCTCCCTATAGTCTGTAAGGGCCACTGCATTACTCGGTCAAGGTCCGCGGGGTGCAGTGGATTTTATAAACGGGGAAATAAAATATACGGTAAAGCAAACTGTTTTGTAAGAAACCATCTGTAACAATTCAATCCTTTACAGTGGTCAATCCACATCATCACGAAGGCAAAAGTATATGATAAGTCAGACTACAACTAAAAGCTGGTACAAGAAACACATGGAATCGGTCCACAAGGCGTTTTTACGTAACTGACTTATATTGAAATTTTATCAAAATTTATTTTGTTAGCTCCCGCTGACAACAATACCAGAGCATTGTGCACACACAAAAGACATCGTGCATCAGGAAGGTCCTGTGATTGGTCATCTCGACACAGGTCTTCTTGGTTTTCCTCTGTTCTAAACAAGAGCTAAGATAGTTTTCTCATCCTGATGACAGAGGCAGTAAACACCTCTGAAACATCGGCCAATTTCTATTAAACTACAAGGGCACAACATCCAAGAAAAATCCCCCAAATTCAGCTTTCACAGTCATTCTTCAATTTAATTCCATAAAACCTATGCAGCTGATAAAGCATTAAATAATAACCAACTCCAACAGTGCAGGCTGTTCTGTAGATAGGGCCTGACCGCATGGTTACGACTCCATCTCACAGCAGAATATACAATTACCAAACTATGCGAGGTGCCCCCCCCAGCCTTCCGGTTTAGTTGAATGAGGGTTTGGCAGTGAGCAACTCTGACCAACATGAGGGCCGAATGGAATGCAAACTGCAAGTAATTTCCGCGTTTGACTTATGACACCTCGGACCACTAGATTCCAAACTGCACGTAGTTGAACCCCCTCACGAAACTATGTAATGTTCTCCAAACCCCTCCTCACCCCCCGACATTTCAGAAATGAAACTTCAAAGAAACAGATAGTCTTTCCTGAGAAGCCAATAGACGCTCAAGTGACTGAGAAAATCGCCCCCTTTCATGAAACCAGAAGATTAATTACCATGCTCAAATGGGGGCGCCACTAGTCCCCATCTTGGGCCACATGGATCGGTCCATTTTATTTTCTCACACCCTACATCTTTAACATTTATTTTTATACTATTCACCAATTTATAAGCAGAAAAAGAGACACAAACATTTCATAGTTAAGTGTAAAGGTCATTTGAAAATATTTAAATCATTCAAGTATATAAAAACAGCATCAATGCAAATAAGGTTAATAATGAAATTATAAGAATGTATTCAATACATTTTTCTTGGTATTCAGTTCGTACACTTTTATCATCTCGTCTACTTTCCAGAACAATAAAGATCAGGAAATATAAATCAACTTTGCCAGTCCTTTATATACTTTTGAAAAAAGTTCTCTTCTTTGAAGGAAGAGACGAGAAGCATGTGGCAGATCTATAACTTTACGTCACACAGAAATAAAGGAAGAAACAGAAAAAGATAAATCAAAATGAGGAAACGATAAAGGAAATATACGGGTATGAAACAAAATACAATCTTCTACAACAAATATCGAGACAAAAGCATAAACCACTATAAAGCACTAAATGAACGGTGAAATGATTTTGACACTGAAAGCAAGCTTTTAAGTCAAGCTTCTTATTCGAACGTTCATGTTAAATAAAGCCAGAGAGATTATAGATGCGAAATTGTCTTCCACAAGAGTAAAATTCATGGAAGCGCGTGATGTGGGGTTTCCCAGCACGTCACGTGACAGCTCTGTGTCAACTGAGTGGCACCAACTCAGTCCACATCGCACATTTTTCTATATTAAATACTGTCATATTGTCTAGTGTAGGATATGACTGCCTGGGAACGTTTGAAGTGAAACTGAAGCCGTGCTTATGAATCAGAGTCACTCCAAGCAGCCGTAGAAATATTCTTATCAATCTTGAGGCCAGAAAGAGATAAATCGGACGTCGTCGAGTTCTCATGGAAATAACGTAAAAATAAAAATACATTTATTCTTCCATGAAAATAACGGAAGGATTTTCTGTATAGATTAGGTAACGTATTGCTCAGACCGACCTCAGAATCCTCTCACCAACATTTCCCGGTCTTTCCATAATCTTCCTTCTGCCGATTTACGATACAAAGCTATCTTAGGCCATCTATCTTCATCCATTTCCATCACATGGTTTTTCCATTTCTTCCCGTTTGCTGTCTGAGTTCCATTCCTTGTTCATTACACAATCCTATTTGTTTTTTTATCTGATCGTGTATTTAGTTAATGATCATTAACCCTTCAAAGCACAGTGGTACCTATATCTACCAGATGCTTCAATATTCACCAAATTCATCTTTCCCACAGAGCGTATTTATATGTTTTAAACGATTATAAGAGAAAACATCCATTACTTTTCTAGCTTTTTTTTTACTACAGACGCATTTCTTTGAGATAACTGCATTTTTAAAAATTATTCTGACAAACCTGTGACTTCAAAAGATCAAGTTATCAATTTAGCCTCTTCCGTTCAGAACCATATTTTAACACTGCATTAATTTATATTTTGTGTAATTTTGATTGTGTTTGTACTCTTGCAAATTATTCAGCTCAACTTATATAAAATATATTTTATTCGACTGAAAACTGTAAGTCTTGTGATTC